ACAACCGGAATCGAACGATTAATATGCCGCCATCTATTGAATGTGAAAATTGATGTTTTTCCTTTTTTTTCATCATCAATAAATTCATCATAAAATCGAAATGAAAGAAACCTTGAAACAAAAACAAAAAAAGTTTTTGATTATTGTTTTTGAAATGAATGGCCAGAATATATATAGATAGTCGTATACAGATGCATATATGCCAGACGTATACGTGCATCGGTGTATGTGTGTTTGACATTGAACTTAGCCTGAATTTTTTTTTTTTTTTTTGTTTCACAATCGATTCGAATTCACGTTAAAATTCACGTATACCCACCATCATCATCACACTATATATACTATATGTAGAATGTTCTTTTGCACTTTGCTTCCAGCATTCCTTTTTGTGTGTTAAATTTTTTTTTTCCATAAAAGAAGAATTGGTGGTAGAAGCATAGCCAATGTCCACCAACCAACCATAATATTTTTGTTTTTACATTTACAATTTTTTTTTCATTTTTTTCTTGATTTGTCCGCTATAAGTTATTGTTGGTTTAACACCATAACAGCAGCAACAGCAGATAATTTTTTTTTTTGATTAAAACACTGGAAATGTCTATCAAATTCCAGAAAGATTATTATTGATAAAAAAATTCCCCTAATCATCATCATCAAATATCATAACCCTAATCATCATCATCATTCGAATGAAAGATTTTCGAGAATTTTTCAAACACACAAAATTTCGCCAACATTTCATTAGAAAAAAAACAACAGCCATTTTTTCTCGTTGTTGCGATACATAAAAACAAAACATACATCTTTAGTGAGCGAAAAACACACATCACATCACACCACAAACGAGCCGTGCAACATCTATATCCATACATGTAATGTGAGTGAGCAAATCACAGATACAAACAAAAAACGTCAACACATTCGAGCTGCGTAAAAACGAAAAAAAAAAACATTTTAACAATTCAACTTGATGATTAATTTGTCTGAAAAAATATGATCAAATATTATTTGTTTCGTTGATCAAAACACCCGATATCGTTATCAACGTTGGCAACGGAAATTGTCGAAATCACAAAGTGAAAAAATCATATTTGATATTTGGTTGGAAAAGCCGATTTTTCTCAGACGAATAAGAAGAAGAAGAAAAAAAATGAAAAGATATTTCCATTTATGATAATTTCTTTCCAATCAATATCGAATCATTTTTTTTTGGTCATCATTCATCATTATTACGCAACATTGAAGATTTTTTTGTTTTGTACAATTTTATCCATCGATTTTGGTCCAAATAATCATCATCTTTATACTTTGACTACCCCCTTTCAACATATCAATCGATTATTTTTTCTGTTAGCTTCAACCAAATTTAGTGAGAGGGAGAACGAGAGATTTGCTGTAACTAACAAACAGACACACACCAATATCTGTAATTTGTAGTTATTTTTCAAATCTTTTAAATTTTTTTTGTAAAAGAAGAAGAAAAAAATTATTCAACTTTCATATTTTTATTTTTTCACCACTATCCTTGATTCCGAAAAATTTGATTTTGTTTCCCAGACAAAAAAAAAAGAGTTAAATGTCATCGGTTGGCTTTGTTTTGTTTTGATTGATTGATTTAAAAAAACGATAAAGTTGTCGGTAGTCTGAAACGAAAAAAAATTCAACCAAACATCATCGACTTTAAAATCTATTGATAACCAGACATATCAACGAAAAAACATTAACGAAAAATTTGAGCCACCAAGTTGAACGTTTTACAACCACCGTAATCATAGGTTTATTAATATTTTTGGCTCCGTCAATACGGAGTCATTATCAAAATCAACATCAACAACAACAATTGGAACAACAACCAAGTATCGATCATGGTGACGAACAACAACAACAACAAGAATCCCAATCATCATCATCATCATCGATAGCTGAAGCAAATAAACATCGACGTAATCGTCGTCGTCGACGACGACAACGACGATATCAGCAGGTTATATTTCGACAAGCTGATGATGCTGATAATAATGATGATGATTTAATTGAAGATATTGTTGAAGTTGGTGAAGATGATGAAGCTGATTTAGTTGCTTTAGTTCCTGAAGAAGAAGAAGATGATGATGATGATGATGGTAATGGTACGGTATCGGACGATAATGAAGAGGATGATGATGATGGTGATGATAACGATATCGATGATGGTGAATTATTTATTCCTGATGATGATGATGATGATGAAGAGGAAGTGGATATCGAAAAACAACAACGTCATCATGCCATTGAACGATTAAATCGACGAATAAATGCTGCACGATCAAATAATTCGAATATCGGTCAAAAACATCGAAGATTTAATTTTCGATTTCTACGTAATCGACACCATCATCATCATCATCATCATGGTCATCATAATCATGATCAAGATCAATCGGAAAATATGAAGAATTTAATTGTTCCACAACGAAAAGAATCAACATCATCCACTTCAACATGTCATAGTTCATGTTCATCAAGTATGGGTGCCCATCATCATCATCATCATAATCAAAAGAAAAAGAAATCGTCATCAATATTGTTAAAAATACCGAATTTTATTCGTACAAATTTATTTAATTCAATATTTCATCATTCGAATCATCATAATGATGATGGTGAAGATGATCAAAATGATGATGAAGACGATAATGATGATGATAATGATATTGATGATGAACAACTTTCGAATGGTTATGATGATTGTGATGAAAGCGCCATTGGTGGCGAGCAATCAAAACAAATGAATAATAATGTTAACAACATTGTTGTGCATAATAATGATTTGGCGCTGGATATTTGTAGACCAACATCAGCACAACAACAACGACAACAATTACATGATGTTTCAAACATGGTGGACAATGGTGATTTAGAAATATTTAATTTGATTGATCATAATAATCAAATGATTTCAATTGACCATAATAATTGTAATAATAATAATAATAATGAACAACGACAAAATGATTCAACAATATCGACAAATGAACAACCAACAGCTGATCATAATTTAATTCGAATAAGAAATAATTCGATGTCGCGTTTTATTGTTGATTCGATTGATTCAACAAAAGAATCAACAATTTCATGTTTACAATGGCAAACAAATCGTAATAACCGTCCAATAATGAGTAAAAATCATAATAATAAGAATAAAAATATGGAAGAAATTATTGATCATCATTATTATCATTATTATCGTAATGATGATTATTTTATGACGAATACATCGTATACATGGTCTTATTATCGAAATAATTTACTTTCAGTTATTAACAGTTCACCATACATACATCGAACGTTTAAATTTGAATTGTTAAACAAAAATGGTTAGTTTTTAAAGGTTTTTTTTGAATTGCTGAATATATTCATTGAATTTTTTTTGAAAGGTGTTGTAAAAGGTTTATGTCCATTAGCACGTTCTGGACATCGAATTGTATCGGATGAACATTATGTCTATCTATTTGGTGGATTTAATCCGGATATTGTTGCAAGTGCACGAGTACCTGATGATGAACAATGGAAAAGAAGTAAACCACTTTTCAAAGAATTATGGCGTTATTCGAAATTGACACAAACATGGCAATATCTACGATGTGGTGGTACAGCACCAGTTGAATTGGCTTCACCATGTGCTCTGTTGCTTGGACCTAATCGTTTAATGATATATGGTGGAAGTGGAATGCCATTCGGTTCAGCAAGTAGCAATAAAATGTACATTTGTGATCTTGAACGTCTTCATTGGTCGCAAGTAGTGTATGAAAATCAATCAACTTCCATCGAAGATGGTGTCGATGTTTCATTCGATAATCAACAAAATCAGATTGATACAGAAATACCTGAACCAGCATATGGTCAGGCTATTTGTTTTGATCAAGAAAATGATTTAATCTATGTTTGTGGTGGTACTACTGGTTTCGATTATTCGCTCAATCTTCATGAATTTAATTTACAAACACGAAAATGGCGATTATTATCTCATACACCACAATCAATCGAACCTAGATATCGTCATGAAATGGCATTATATCAAAGAAAATTATTCATAATTGGTGGTGGAACTTCAGGTCAATCATTTGCAATGGATAAAGTAAGTTTCACATGGTTTTAAACAATAGTCTTAATTACCCCCTTTTTATTACAGATACCAGTATTCGATTTAAATGTCGAAAAATGGTCTGTGGTTGATACTAAACCATGGCAACAATCTGGTCAAGAACAAATATATCCAGCACCTCGTTATAGTCATGATTGTGGACAGATTGGTAGATTAATCTACGTAGTTGGTGGTGCAGATCAACATCAAGCTTTTGCCGATTGTTGGAGTTTAGATTTAGAAACATTACAATGGACAAAACATGTTGGTTGTTCTTTACCTCAACCTTGTTATTTTCATTCAGCTACCGTAAGTCCAAATGATGGAGAAATGTTTGTTTTTGGCGGTGTTAATTGCGTTCAACGTAAACGTCGTAGTGATGCAATGTATCGATGTTGGTTATCAGTACCATCATTACAACGAATGGCTCAAGAAGCTATTATTAAATTTTTACATAATGATAAAAATATTTCTGGTTCTAATTCGGGTTGCATTGAAAACAAACGAAAAAAGAATGATCCAAATAGACATCATACAAAATCACGTTTATCCATTAATTATCTGCACGAGTATTTTCAATGTATGCAAATTAGCCATCAACTATTGAATCTTCCTAAATTCTAACAACAACAACAACAAAAAAAAATGTGATTCTTTAATGTTTGCGTCTTTCCTCTTTGCTTTAACATCGATTCGTTTATTTTTATTATTATTATTATTGACAAAGTCAAAAGACAAGATATATTCGTGATTCTTCTTCTTCTTCAAAAAACAACCGCAAGTTTTAAGTGTCATTTTTCTTTTTATTCTCTAATGATGACTTACTGATTATTATTATGTTTGATGAAATCTTCTAAAAAAAACATTGACGTAAAATTTTAAAATTTTTTGTTTTTTTTTTTTGTTATTTTCTGATATTTATTATTATGATTATATCCATTTATTTTGTCAACGACTCTCTATAACACATTTGACAGAAAACACAAATCAGATTTTTTCATTTTTTTTGTTTGTTTTTTCGACTTTTAATGATGACACTACTTAATGTTATTTTTTAATTACCTATTATCAATCAATCAATCAACAACAGCAAAGATTTTTCGTTCGAAACAAAAAAAAATGAATAAATTAAAAATTTTCTTTCAATAACGTATTATATGAATGTGTTTTGGATTCGGGAATTTTTTTCAAAAAAAAAAACATATCACGCGTGAAAAATGTTCAAAATGATTTTTGGCCGTAAATTGATTCAATCAAAATCTTTACAAATACATCGATTATTTGCTACATCGATATCGAAACGTATTGAAGATCGTAAACTAGGTCGTTTAGCATTGTTACGTAAAGCAATTGATGAAATATATCAAAATCAAAATCATAATAATCGAAATTTTGATTGGAACGATGCCCGTAAACAGCTGTATGAACGTCAAATACATTTTCCTTCGAATTTTGAATTTACATTACTTTCGGCATTCGATGTTAATAATGTTCAATCATATGATGAACAATATCAACTTGATTCGAATTTATTTCATGAGATAGCCAATTTTGTTTCAAAATCAAAAACATTACAATCGAATAAAATTGCATCGATTCGATTTTGTGTATTTTTAAGTCAATATCCACAATATTTATCCGAACAACAATTGGAATTTATTCGGAAAATTGCCTTATCAATTGCCAATGATTCGATACAAATCAAACCGGTAATAATCGATATAGTCACAGCACTTGCACATTCTTCACCGGAAAATTGTCGATTAGCATGTCAATTGTTACCGAAATTCTTAACATTTCAAAAATATGCATTCAGTTTACGTTTAGAAATTATACGGATTTTATTTCAAGCTCTTATCAATCATCGAATGTCCGAAGAATTGTTACAATTTTTACAACAAAATTCACAAATTATTGATAATATTGATCTTACTACATTTGGACAATTAATTTCATTGATTGCTAAAACACGTTTAAGTCCACGAAAATTTTCCAAACAAAATCTTATCGATATGATTCGATGTTTAAGTGATCTGCATATGCCTTTATTAGCTGATGATATGGTTATATTAGTGGATAAAATTCTTAAACAAAAACTTGGTTATAAACATATTGAAGATGTTCAAATTGATCGAATAAAAGGTATTTGTCCTTGTTGTGGTAATCAACTTACAGGATTAAATAATGATGAATTTTTACAATTAAAACAACATTTTAAATCAATAATTTTCGATTCAAATGATCAATATATGATGGACAATCTTACCGAATATCATTTACAATTGATGGATTTTGAACAGAAGATCTTGATTGACGACCACGATTCAAATAAACCACGATATGATTTGATTGTCGATGGCCTTAATATTAGTTATAGACGTTCGAAATCAATTGTCCAAGATAAAACTGGTTTACGAACATTCGCCAAAGTTTATAAAGTAAAAGATATTGATAATCAAATTGTTACAATAATGGAACAAAATTATTTAATGTCTAAATATAAAAGAATATTATTGATCGGTCGACAGCATATGAAATCATGGTTTCAACTTAAACGTATGTGTCAACATTATACAAATTCAATTGATTTAAATCTTTTATTGGATCGTACACGTGATGATAATTATATACTGTATGCTGCTATACAACATCCACAAACAATGATTCTATCATCGGATCATTTTAAAGATCATCAAAATAAATTTATTGATTGGTATCGAAATAATAATAGTTCAATGATAGATAATGATGACAATGAAATTCGACCAAATCTTGGCTTGATATTTAAAAGATGGTTAAAATCAAGACAGATTCGTATTGAACAAGGTTCAAATTTACTACAATATCCAAATCAATTTGATATAAAAATTCATTTTCATCATTCAAATGATAATTCTGAATCCGAATTGCCCATTCTACATATACCGGTTGTATTAATACCCGATCCATATGATAATGATGATCATAAAATTGGTTGGATTTGTGCAATGGACAAATTGAACAAAACTCAATAAAAAATAAATAGTTTTTTCCTTGATCATTTTGAAATTTATTTGTTTTTTTCAGAGTAAATTTAAAAAAAAAAAAAATAATATGTGTATGAAATACAAATCAATTTCTTCTTTCAAATTTTCCCCTCATCATTATTATTTTGATCCAGTGGATAATAATGCAACAACAGCACCCGAACCAACAACCGAAAGTAAATAATTCAATGTTGGACTAAACGATCGGAAAATATAGAATGAACCAAGTATGACCATTGTATAGAAGATAGCATTATTATAGAAAATTGAATAAGTTGTTGCTTCAAAATCGGCTACAACATTTTTTTTCCATAAAATTCGTTCATCTTTTTCTTTTTTGTTCATTGTTTGTTGTTGACCGGAAAGTGATTGTAAAACTTCTTTGGCAACAGCATCTTCACGTTTTTGAGCAATTTTATGTTTCAAAACAAATTTTACATTATTATAACCGAATGCAACTAGCCATGTATTGATCAATGATCCAATAATGAATAAAATCCAATAAGATTCCAATTCCAATTGATAGATTCGAAGATATAACCCTTTATGGAATCAAAAATTATTTTTGTATTTGATAAATAGTAACATCATCATTATAAACAAAAACTTACAAAGCGGTACAATCGATACAACCAATGCAATACCATAAAACATTATCATTGCTTTACGGCTAATTTTTCGGGAAAAATCCTGAAGCAAAAGCTCCTCTTCGCGTGTTAACATTTTTTTCGATGTAGTCATTGTCAGGAATTTTATCGTTAACCGGTCTCGAAATCTGGTAAATCTGTTTTTTTGGAAACAAAATAATAAATGAAAGGAAATGCTTTAAAGCACACAAGCAAAAAAGATTCGGGATAAACGTTGCCTCAAAGTGTACACGTCTGCATGCATCAAATTTGGACACTATTTACACTTGACGACTATAATGACTAAAAATGTTATTTTTTTTATTATTAAAAGATTCTATTTTCAGTTGTTGACACAATAAAATTGAAGGTGAGACGAAAGGCTTTGGTTTTTGGTTTTAAAATTTAAAATTTCATCATTTTTTTTGTTATAATTTGATCATCGATAGTCACAATTTGGATTGTTTTTCTTTGTCAAAAATGATAAACAATAATCTCCGTAATGGTCACCGTATTGGTCGACTTTTTCAATCGATGATCAATACCAATTCGGTTTGTATTGATTATTGAGTAAAAATTTCGTTTTATAATATTTTCATTTTATCGATTTTGGAAATAGATTCGTATTCAACAAACACAAACATCACCAGCTACATTATCATCTGAATCATCATCATCGGTTAATAATGAAAAACCAAAACGAATGAAAACATTAGCTATATATCGTTGGGTAAATAATTGATTATTGTCAGCAACGAAATTATTATCATTTTTTCCCCTGTATAAAGGATCCAGAAAAACCTGGAATGAAACCGCATATTCAAGATTATAAAATTGACCTTAATGAGTAAGTTTTCTAAATTTTGTTTACAGATATTTTAACTATGAAAAATTGAAAATTTTTAGTTGTGGCCCAATGGTATTAGATGCATTGATCAAAATAAAAAATGAAGATGATCCTACATTAACTTTTCGACGATCATGTCGTGAAGGTATTTGTGGTTCTTGTGCGATGAACATTGATGGTACAAATACTCTGGCATGTATAGCCAAGATTAGTGATGTGGATAAAGTGACTAAAGTACTACCTTTACCTCATATGTTTGTCGTCAAAGATCTGGTACCGGATTTAACTTTATTTTATGAGCAATATCGTTCAATACAGCCTTATTTGCAACGTAAAGATAATGTTCCAGTTGGTACTCGACAAAATCTACAATCGATAAAAGATCGTGATAAATTGGATGGTCTTTATGAATGTATTCTATGTGCTTGTTGTTCAACATCATGTCCAAGTTATTGGTGGAATCCTGATCGGTATCTTGGTCCAGCCGCTTTGATGCAAGCCTATCGATGGGTAATTGATTCACGTGATCAGGCTACCGAAGAACGTCTTGATCGTCTTAAAGATCCATTCTCATTGTTTAGATGTCATACTATTATGAATTGTTCACGAACCTGTCCAAAACATTTAAATCCAGGTCGTGCTATTGGTGAATTGAAAAAATTAACATCAGGTTTAGCTCAAAAACCTGTACCAGATATGCAAACACCGTGATTTGTTTTTGTAGTGTTTTTTTTCTAGAATATTCAATATATTAAAGCAATATTAAGCAAATACTTAATTCTTTGTAATTCTCTAGCCTAATTTTGTTCTAAAGAAACCGATTTTCTTGGTCAGAGAAAATAAACAAAATTCACCAAAGATGACCAATCTTTGATGGTTTTTGGCAAAATAAAAGATTTAAAATGTTTTGTTCCATTTTATTTGAAAAAAAGTCAATCATTTCTTATGTTGTTAGATTACAAAATTTATTTCTTATCCGAAGTACCCGCTGCTGGTTTTGCGGTTTTTTGTTGTGCACGCAATACTTTGGCTACAATCTTTTCTTCTTCAATCAAAAATGCCCGTACAATACGTGATCGAACACATTGTGCACATTTTGTTCCACCATAAACTCGGGTAACTGTTTTACGTCGTCGTGATAATCGAGTCAATTCTCGTGGACGAGCATATGCTAAACCACGTAATTTATTTTTACAATCACCACATTTTGCTACGGATCCGGATTTTTTCGTATATAAATATACCAATTTACCTCCAGGAGTTTTCGAACTATTCGAAAATACACAAACATGTTAGATGTATTCAAAAGTTCAATTGAATAACAATAACTTACATTTTTCTTCGATTTGATTGTGTATTATACGACAATCGTCGTCGATAAGTCAATCTTTGGACCATGGTTGAAATGATTATATAAAAATTGGTGAATCAAAATTCGAGAAAAACCAAAACCAAAAAGAACACAAATCATGCACACGCACACACACGAGCAAAAGGAAATGATCACAATTTGTGTTTGAGAAAAGCGTGCATTTTTTTTTTGGTCCTGTTCATCAACACTAGTACATTCTGCTCATTATTTTCATTAAACTCTCTGTGTGTTTGTGTGTTTTGTGCCGCTAATTGTAAATCAATTTTGTTTTTTCATTTGGTAAATCATGTCATCAAATAATACACAAATGAAAAATTTTTATCTTCGTTATTATGTTGGACATAAAGGTAAATTTGGTCATGAATTTTTGGAATTTGAATTACGTCCGGATGGTAAATTACGTTATGCAAATAATTCAAATTATAAAAATGATACGATGATTCGTAAAGAAGCTTATATATCACGTGCTGTTATGGATGAACTTCGTCGTATAATCGAAGATTCCGAAATAATGAGTGAAGATGATGCTGTTTGGCCAATGCCAGATCGTGTTGGACGACAAGAACTGGAAATTGTTAATGGTGATGAACATATTAGTTTTACTACCAGTAAAATTGGTTCATTAGCCGATGTACAGGAAAGTCGTGATCCAGAAGGTCTTCGTTGTTTTTATTATCTTGTTCAAGATCTTAAATGTTTGGTTTTTTCACTTATTGGTCTACATTTCAAAATTAAGCCAATCTAAGAAAAAACAACAACAATTTCCATTCGATCATTTAAAATTTTCAAATTCATAATTTAAAAAACAATTATTCTTTTTTTTCAAATCAATTTGTAATGCTTAATTCCATTTGTAATAATTATTATCATGATTTTTTTTTCATTTTATTTTAATCCTGTTTATGAAAACAACAAAATAAAAATATGAATTCGGATAAAACGGTTTATATATCAATGATAAAGTATAGATTCTCAAAAGGAATGGGTACATCAAATAATCATCGAACGACCATTCGGGAAAAGGAATGTTGGATAGGATTCTATAGGATTTATGTTGAGTGAATGGTGATTGTTGTTGCAATATCTTTAAATAAATGTAATTGAAAAAAATAATGAAAAAAATGATGATAATCATGTTTCCCAACGATAAATGAAAATTTCTCTATCGGTAAAATATTTATAGATAAGAAATGGATAAAGAAACCATAATGTTACAATCGAACCAGCAACCCAATCAAAACAGGCATTCAATATTCGAAATGTTAATGACCGTGGATGATCAAAATATGCTGGTATTCCTTTACGACGTACAATACCCATTACAACACGTGGTGATGCTTTTTTACAATCATATGTTAGGCCAATTATTTGTGTAATATGTATAAAATGACTGATTGGATCAAAATATTCCCAATATTCTTTTTCATTTGAACGATAATCATATGGGAAAACATGATGATAATTATGATTACCTTCACCCATCGATAGATAATTTATGATACGATTATCAGCTGGACGAATACGAAAATCATATGGCCGATAACCATAATGATGTGCAACCGAATTAACACAAAACAATAAATGCAATACAACTGTTGTACGAATGATAACAATCACATAGAAAGCGGTTAAAAGATTTTCATTCCATAAAATCCAAGGTACTATAGTCGGTAATATGATATTAAGCACAATAAACAATGGTACATAAAATCGATGTTGAAAACGAATCAATGGATCATTCCAAAGATCGGAAACATCAAATTTTTTACCCATTGCAATTACAACGGGTGATTTTTTCCATAACCACCAGCCAACATGAGCATGAAATAATCCTTTAGCCGGATTTTTTGGATCAGCTTCAGTATCCGAATATTTATGATGATTACGATGATCACGTGCATATGAAAAAATAGTACCATTCATTGTCATAGTTTGTAACAACATCAGCCCGAGACGTAATATTGGTTTTGCTTTGAATGATCGATGTGCCCAATATCTATGTGCACCGACCGACATACCCATACCGGTTAAATAGCCCAATGTAATGGCTGATGCGGCTGTCCAAAATTTTACCGGATAAACAGCTGCATGATAACAAGCAAATATACAGGTAATATGTAATGCACTCAAATAGAATATATTATTCCATTTCAATCGACATGTAGTATGCCAAAATTTTTCCCAACGATTTTTAGCAATACGTTTTGGACCAGGTATATAATCAAGTTTACCGGGACATGGTGGATATTCTTTCATTGTTATAATTTTTTCATTCAAATCATTCTGTTGATTAATAATATTAGCTATTGATTGATCTAATTCAATCGTTTCTTTTGGTTCACCTGGAATCGAACAATATTGTTCAATATTTTTATCAATTTGTTTATTATCTTCATTATCATCATAATGATGATTATTATCATTCGTTGTTGAATCAATAGAAATTTTTACATTTTTAACATTTGAATTCAATTCATTTTTATTATTATTATTTAAATCGGTAGCTAGCTGTCCACCATTCGGTATTGTGATCGATGATGCTGTTGATGATGGCATAATTAGATGATGATGATTAATTTGATCAAAAATGCTGCATCAAATTGACCACACAATCATTGATGATTGCGTTATATAACCAGAGGAAAAAAAACTCGATTCGCTTAACTGATTGAAATGAAATGATTGAAATGAAAAACTGGTTAGAATGACGATTCTCAACCAGAAAAGAAAAGTTGTTCTTCAATAAAACTTGCTTAAACACACACACAATCAAACAAACAAAGTTTTTTTGAATTATTCAATCAAATCGATGAAGTAAACATTCAATCATTCGAATGGCTGATGATGATGACGATGACGAATCGATTCAAAGAATGATTACAAATGGACGGAATGATTCGAACATCGATTAAACGAACAAAACAAAAAACAAAATCAGAAATATAATTGGATCATATCGCGTAGAGTGTTAATGATAAATTTGAATAGTCTTTCTCTCATTACGACGATCGTTGAATGTTGTTGTGACGCGAAAGTAATTTTTTTTTTGTTCAAATTCCTTGTTAGAGTTTGATTCAAAAAAAAAAAAAAACAAAAACAAAATTAAATCTAATCAATGATAATATCCTCCATACAAAAATCACCTCTTATTACTACTACTAAAAACTAACTAAGGAATCAATTCAGATTGTCATTGGCACACTAAATAATTTTAAAAAAAAATTCGTCACATAAACAACCATTATTGATCATTGTCAAAGGTGGATGGCCATTTTTTTCAATCATCATAATCATCATCATGGTGATCCAGTATCAACACGTATTTGTTGGATAGTGAATAAACAATTGGCCATCTACACGTCCAAATATAAATATTCCACAGATGGTAATGTATTTGTAGTTCAATAATTTTGTTTTCATTCGTCGTTTGTTTGTCGTGCCATGAAATTATCGGAACTATGTCATGAAACATAAAATATAAGATACTTTAATGTCTGTATAATAATAGTAGGGGGTGGCCTTGTAAATTATTTAGTTATTTCTTTGACTATGATCATTTGCTAATCGATCGGAACATTCGATTCAATTTTTTTGTCTTGTTTGTTATTTTGTCTTGTTTTTGAATCAATTATTGATGTTCATATCTGATTCATCATTTAGATATAAAAATAGTAGTGATATGATTTCAATTCAATTGTTTTGTTTTTTTTTTGATTTCAATTTCTATCGTTTTGTTTTCGGCCTAAATGAAATGGAGCAAAAAAATAAAATATTCAATGTTATTATATTTAGTTTTCATCATGATTCATAATAATAATAATCGTTTACCTTCAATCAATCAATATGATCAAGATAATGATGAAGATGATGCCCGAAGGCAGACAAAATTTGTTTTCTCTTTCGCATTTTTCTTGCAGCTGTAAATTGATATTGAATTTTGTGGACAAAAACAACAAACATCAGATACACAAATCGATTATATAATGGTCTGATTGATACTATTTTTTTGAGTTATAATTTAGCGAAAGAGAAATAGTTTAAGTGTGGAGAGAGTGAAGATACAAGGAAATGGAAAAGATAGTTGGCCATCAACCAAGTGTGGAAAAGATTTTCCACTGGCGGAAAAAAACGATAAACCTTGTTCAATATTTATTTATGTTAATCCATTTGATGTTGTTTGTTTTTTGTTTTTTTCGTTTCCACAAACAAAAAAATCATAATCTGACATTGAACGGTAGCTGAAAATTGATGATGACGCACTTAATAAAAATGGATTGCATCATTTTTTTTCAATAAATTAATAATCATTATCATTGAAACTTACCTAAGATAACACATTTTATCGTTAATCAATGATTAAGTGCAAATTTTTTCATTTTTTCTCGAAAAAAAATTCGGCCATTTGTTGTTGTTGTTCGTTTGTTTGTCGCTAACATTCGAATCATTTTGTAATAATATTTGTCGACGATAGATGGCCGTACTTGAGTTAATCGAATGATTCGAATCAACAAAAAAAAATAAAAAATAAAAAATATTCGAATCGGAAATCGATCAATCAAAATCATTTCGATGAATATTTTTTTTGTTTAAATGTGATGATCATCATGATCAATATTCGATGAGAATAAAATGAACAAAACGAATATTTAAAAAAAAAATCTAATCGATCAACCGGTGCAAACACTCAATCAATCAATCTTTTAATCGATTTGTTTGTTGATTGAGAATTTCTTCTTTTTTTCCCCCCGTTTGTTTGTTTGTTTGTTTATTCGAACGAATTCAAGAGCCAATTGAAAAAAGAAAGAAAAGAAAAGAAGAATATTCTTATATTCAATATTCGGGTATGTTTGTTTGGCTATGACACTATAGTTTTGGTCAATTAATTTTTTGTTTTATTTTCATTCATTCAGGCGTATTCGATTTGAAATCATTTTTCTTCGCAAATCATATGATGATGTTAATGTTTTTTTTTTCTTTCAAACAATGTCAACAACAGATTCACATTTGAAAAATGTAGCGTTTTTTTTCAAATTTAATTTATTTAAATTTGAAAAACAAAAACAAATGTGGCTATATATAGCGAAAGAGAAACATGATATTCCAATTTAAAAACAAACGAAATTGGCCGATCCAAACAAACAAACATCGGTTATTTATCAATTTTGATAAAAGCCTAAAGCGATTCTGACCACAAAAACAAATCAATCGATAATCAATGATGATTATCATAATTCAAATATTGAACATCATAGCCAACATCATTTAAAACCTAAAAATAGAAACGATAGAAAAAGAAAATCAAGAAAATGTCAAATGAATTACAATCACCACACCAACACCATCATCAACATTGTTATCAATAATCGATCGATCGACCCCTAATCAAAATTGAGCAAGACCCATCTGAATATATCAACAACAACAACATTAGAATTGAATGATTCTAAAAGTAGACATTTTCAAACAAACAAACAAACAAGAATTATTCTTCTTCTTCTTTGAAAATCAAATTCATTCATGGATTGTTGTTGTTGTTGTTGCTATTATTATTCAATAGTGAAAAAAAGAAAAAGAAAATGAAATTTAATCCTAGATTCGACAATCGATTGTCTTCATTGATGTGTGTGTGTGTGTGCATGCATCATCAATCGGCTTCGATGCTTATGGTTTGTTTGTTTGAAAATTTATTCGATGTGTGTGTGTGTGTGTGTTTACAAAATAAAACAATAAATATATAGATAGATAGATAGAAAGCGAGTGATAACAAAAAACAAACGCTACAATTTTCATCGTTGACGTAAACACACACATCAAAGAAAGAATTTCATCACTTTGCTATCTTCACTATTTTATTTATTTTTTTTCATTTCATTTCATTTCAATATCAACAAACAAACATAACAACAAACACACTATGAACGATAGTAATCATCTCAAGAGATTCAGCAAAGTTTTTTCTTTTCTTCAGAAGAAAAAAAAGAATTTTTTTTCCATTACGAAAAAATATTTGGAATTACTCTACTTTTCTTCATCTTCTTCTTCTTCTTATGCTTCTTTGCTGCAGTTTTTTATTTATTTTTTTCATTCCGTTCCGGGGTAAACAATTTTAACACTGCAGTAATGATAATGATGTTTTGACATAGCTTTTCATTTTCGGTTGTTATTTGAACGTTTTTTTTTCATTTGAAATGTAATTCTTTGTCAAATCTTCATCATCATCATGATCACCATTATTAACATATTTTGGTTGTCTTTCATTTCTATCAAAAAAAAAAAATTCATGTTTTTTTTCATTTAAACATTTGTCACACTTGGATTCTTTGATAAGAATTTTTTTTTTTCATTTCATTTCTTTCCAGGTATAAAAAATATAGCCGCCGTGTAATATCAACAATCAACCCAACCCAGAAACATACAGCGAGAGAGAAAGGGAGAGAAAACGACATAATTCAAGACCAACGAACCGGAGATGGGTAATCATTTTCCTAATTTGCATGGTTTTCTTTCTTTTTTGTCATGTTTTTTTTTGGCGTCAAACAAAAAGATAAATAAATGAATGAAATATGAGTTAGTCAATGATGATGACAGAAATTATACATTAATAATAATGACGATGATTCTTATAAAAGGTAAAGAATTTCAAATTAAAGAATTTCAATTTCAAATAAGTAATTGGACACTTTTTTTAAGGAGAATTTTTCAAATGAAAAAATGAGAAGAAGAAGAAGAATATTCTATGTGGAAAAAAAATGATCGATGAATTTCTTTTGGTTGGATGATTGGATGATTGCAGAACCAGATGTTTGTTTGTTTGTTTTTTTCGTTGAAAAAACAAAAAAACGAAAGATTTTCAACATAAATAAATAAATATTGATAGAGATTAGAATTAGAGATGATAACAAGAGAGAGAAATTACATTCTGTTCGATTCAATTCGATAAGGAATTGAAATGATAAATTCAAAACGAATCTTCATCATCTATTGACCTGTGTAGCAGTAGTAATATTCTAGTAGGTTTTTTTTTTGGTTCAATTTTGAAAAAGTAATTTTTTATTTTATCTCATTTTCTATATTGATTGATTAAGTAAATATAATAACCCTCATATAATAATAATAATAATCATTAATTTTTTATTGGAAAAGTTACAAAAGAAAATAATGAAATCAGAAACATCTGCTTGTTGTGAATGTTGTTTCAATTTTATTTTTGGTTTCTTTCATGATTATAAATTTCAAAACGAAAAAAAAATCATTATTTTTTTGTGACAAAAAAAAAGTTGATTCCTCAAGATTAACATTAAAATAATGATGATTTTCTGTACAGCAAAAAAGTCCAATTACTTGTGTGTGTGTGATACCTTTTTTTGTACAAGCAGAATCTACTTCATTGGAACACCTTATATTTCGGCATGCATAAAATAATAATAATGTATTTCTATGGAAAAAGAAAGAAAAAAACATTTTCATAAATGTCCCCAGGCAGAAATTTGTCTCTTAAAAAACAGTTCTAAACTGTATAACTATTGAAAACTCTTAAAAAAATATTACGATTTTGAATTTTTATTAAAAAACTATGAAAATTTAAAACTGTTAAAAAGTTATTATCAAAGTCAGTTCTTTTTATGCACAGTCACATATTTCATGAATTATACAAAATAAAATTGCACGTGGAAAGTTTTTTCATGCTCGCATCAAATATTGAAAATTTTTCTAAGTCAGAATTTAACTTGTAAAAATTTTCAAAATCAAAATTGAAATTAAAAAATTCTTTTAATCGGAATTCAAATTGAATAATTCTTTGAATACGAATCCATCGTGATGAATTTTCAAACTTGAATCCGAATTCCAACTGAAAATTTTTCAAGTCCAATTTCAACTCTGAAAAATTTTTCAAAGTCCGATTTCGACATAGAAAATTTCTCCAAGTTCGACTTCAACTTATAAAATTTTTCTAAGCCAAAGTCGGACTTGGAAAATTATCATTATTTGTTTGATGTCCGAGAATACATGACAATTGGCTGTTCTGTTATAAGTCCCTTTTCCGCTTATGTTCTTTATGGCCATTAATCAATCTGTTTTGAATGGGTGATATCTTTAATTTTTATGCCATTAAGTAAGTAAAAATGCTATGTTGTTCACAATACTCAATCTCTTTTTGCCCAAGTTTCAGTATTCTGTCCAATAATCCATGTCGAATCATTTACAAAACAATCAAAAACAATACAGGTATAAATCTAANAAATTCAAAACTTATCATCAAATTTTATATCGGAAACAAATTACAATCCAAATGATGATACAGAAAGCTTTTCTGACTGATAATGGATTCAACTCATTGTTTGCAATAATCGGAAAAAGTGGTCAAGGAATCGGGACAAATGCATTAAGATGGGCATGAAATTGTCTATAATCAAAAAGAATATGAACAATTCACTCGATTGATTGAAACGATATTTGAAAATATTTGGCTACAGAAAAAGCTAACATTTTGTGAGCGTTGGATTTAGATGATATTGAGAGCCAATGTTGAATCGAAAAGTCAATTTTGTTAATTACTGTATTTTTTGAATTGTACAATTTTATTATGATTTTTTTGATTTAAAAATAAAAATTGATATTCTTAACCGATCAA